CTCAGAATTAAACAGGAGGGGTTACGCGGGGTTTGGTCCATGTTTCCACTTACCAGGGCAACCCATTTTGGTACTGGTTTTTTGAGCCACGGACAATTCTGGGGAAGACAGGACCACCAACTTGGAGCCGGTCGTGAGTCGATTCGGACCCCGATCTCCGACGCCTTGGTGGTTCAGGCCATCGGAGGCCATTGTCATCGTGCGCGCCACGGCGAAGGCGATGGTGTTGCTGCCTCGACGGAAGTCTAGAGACCGAAGAAAATTCGGAGACCAGGAAATTCGACAATGAGACCTTCAAAGGAGTGTGGGATTTAGATTCTGGAGCCAAGATCCAAGATCCGAGATTCTTGGTTGACGTTGGAAGGGGAGCAAACATTGAAACACTTTAGCAGTTCAGTGGTTGGATTTCAACCGCTAAACCACAATAAGCAAAAATATAAAATGGTTCCCAACAACAACCATGGACAACCTGCTGCAACGAGGATTTCGACTTGTTTCAACCATGTTCCAAAAAATGTCATGCCGCACATCCCATGATGATCCAAGCGAAAAGAACCGGAACAGCCCTCCAACGGCGGCTGTTTCAGCCATGTCCAAAATACCAAGTACTGTCCAAGAAGCAGCGGTTGGGGTGCCGGAGGGATCTAAAGAAACTCAAACCCCGACACGTGACCTCGCTAGAAGACCAGCCCAGATGGCTGTTGCTGATTCTCCCTTTTGGAGTGGATCGCCACCAAAAAAATCCCCCAGAAAACGGAAAAAAGAAACAAATACACAACAACCAAAAAACAACGCCAAAAAAAACAAAACATGTAAAGATAAATAAGTATAGTAAATGGCCTTCCCAAAAAGTGTGAAGTCCAGGAACTCGGGGAGTGAGTAGTTGTCACGTTGGCCACGTTCGAAAAACTCGACAAGAGTGGGGCTTTACCCTTCGGGGTGGGTGGTTGGTGCTCACATGGTGTCAATGGGCCCCGATATCTGTGATGCCAAAATGGATGATTTCCATCTCCACAACTTTGCCCCTTGGAGGATTTTCTGCAGAAAGTGGCCCCCAAAACCCAATGTTCAGTTCCCCAATGGGTTCAGTGGGTAGCGTTCTTCAATTGAGCTAGGGGCTTTGATTTCTTCCGGGTCTTGGATTCAGACATTACCCGGGTTAACAGTTGTAACACCGACCACATAGCACCCCTGACATGAAACCCTTGATTAATCAACCATTCATTGTGGCTATGAGAATGCAATCAAAGAGACCCATTGCTGCGTTCCTCGAATCAGCCATCGAAATTCACCATGATTCTGGGGGCTCGACGCGCAAATACATTGCGTCAACGCATGCATGCGTGCCTAGCCTATAGACTCGCAACCGCTCCCTTCCTGCCTGTGTCCCAGACTGCCGTGGTACCAGAACTGCTGAATGCGTGAATGTTCAGCCCGTCGGCCTGCGCTGACAATGAGACCTTCAAAGGAGAGTGGGATTTTAGATTCTGGATCCAAGATCCATCATTCTTGGTTGACGTTGGAAGGGGAGCAAAACTTTAAATTTTAGCAGTTCAGCAGGGATTTCCCACTCAACCACAAGAAGCAAAAATGTAAACTGTTTCCCAACAACAACCATGGATTGTTGAGCGACTGTTGAGGGAAATCTGGGATCCATAAATGCCTCCCCTTGAACTCTAAATACCGGTAGTTAGATTTGCTCAAGGGCCAGTATTTCGATTTCATCATACCGATGCCTAGATTTCAGTGGGCATTCATAGATCCAATAAACCTCTCAAAAGTCCCGAAAAAATATTGGATTCGATCCAGAATTTAAATACCGGTATTAAGCTAAGAAATCTAAACAGCGGCATTCAGATTTCAGGGAGGCTCCAAGATGTCCATCAAAAGTCCCTCAACTATGTGGAAGCTTGGATCCATAAATGCCGGTATTAACAAATCTGAATACCGGTATTTAGAATCCAAAAACGTCAGTATTTACAACTATGGCACAACCCCCTTCCTTGGTGCCCAAGAATTCTAAATAAACCAGTACTTAGAATTCTGGCACACCCCCCTTCCATGGTGCCCACTATTGGCAAAGAAAATGCAAAAATCGAACAGGTTGCTGAAATACAGAGAAATAGCGGCACGAGGGGGGTGTGTACCAAATGCATATATATGTGTGTATATATATATACACACACATATATACATATATACATATATACAAACATACATACATGTATATATCCGCCGACAACAGGCGGCGTGTTGGACATAAGAAATGCTCCTTAGGAGGGGGGGGGGGGGGAAAAATAGTAAAAGGAGAATTCAAAGAATTATTCTTTCTACTATTTTTCTCCAACAGCAACACAACAAACAGAAAACAAAATCCAGAACAACAAGCAAACAAAATAAATAATCACAACCAGCAACAACAATATTTAATCACAGCATGCAACGTTAAATAATTCAAACAAGCATACCAACAAAACAGCAACACTCTAAATCATCAAAGAACCCAAACTCAAAAACACACATCAACAAAAAACAAAGCAACATACCAACAAGAAATATCACAAGAGCATCAAACAAAACAAAAACAAACAGCCAAAGCACGAAAAAATTGAAGAAGCATGCCAAGTCTAAACAACGCACTTTGAAAGAGATAAGCAAATTATAATAATTCAATCTTTACAAACGATAAATATATTACAATTATAACATATAATATTTTACATGTGATAATCATAGTATGATTATAATTTCAGTACAGGATAATAATTTAATTGATTTGTCTTACTTCTTTCATACATCATTTTAAAAATAATATTAATATCTCTCAATGTATTTTGAACATTACAATTTTTACGTTCAATAAATAATTTGATATTTTCTTTAACATCTTCTCCTTTCTCTTGACTATAACACAACATCCTTAATATATCATCAATCATACCATTTTTTTCTTAGGGATTTTAAGAAACTGTTTAATATAATCGTAAGGTGGTATTTTATTTACAGCTAGAAATATTAAAATATCACCTTCTACATTTCTATTATGTCTCCCTTTTATTCTCAACAGACATTTGATTAAAACTTGATTATCTCTCCATTCCTGACAAATTTTACATTCATCTTCTTCATCCATTGAATAATTAATAATATTATTCAATATTTTATTAGGTAAATTTAATTTATACAATTCCATATTTTCTTTTTTGAAGTGACAACAATCATAGCATTTTTTATTGATATAATTATTGATTTTATCACCGTTCATATTTCTTTAAGTCATTTTTTAGGCATTAATAAAAATTAAGAAACTAACCATAAGTATAGTATAATTATAGCATATAATATTTTACATGTTATAATTATATTTCAATTAACTTTTATGGGTTACATTTATAGTCAGGCAATATGTCTTCAAATATGTAATCTACATATTTATCAATATCGCCAATGTCTATATATTTGATATTGTCTTTTCCTATTGTTGAATAAATATATTCCCAGAAAAACAAATTAACTAGTAGCCATACTTGATATTTAGTGTTGTAGTAAGACCATACATGATATTTAGTTATTCTAAATTCATTCAAGACCTCGTTTATTTTATCTTTACTTAATAAATGCCAATCAATCGCTTCAAACATGTCTCGAAATTTTTTAACAAATGCTTTATATGGTTTAATTGCGTTTACCCCTCCAAACCTCTTAATTAAAACTTTATTATTAAAAAACTCATCAATTTCTTTTTCAAATGACTCTCTATCAATTTTATGGTAAAACCATACAGGAAATCGTTTTTGATATCTCATAAAGAATTTCAATTGTAATTGAAACTTTGTATATCCCTTATCCTTATATTCTTCAACAAACAACTTTTCAAGGTCTCTTGTTATACAGCATTGATTACAATATACATCATATTCACTTATTTTACTACACAGATTAGCAGGTAATAACTTATACAATGTAAAATTAATATCATTCTTTTTATTATTACAACATTCACACTTACTATAATTAAACAATGTCATTTTTCCTCTTAATATATTAAGTCAATATTTCTTTAAGTCGTTTTCAAAGAATTTATTTTATAATGACCATAAGCAAGTGAGTTTACACTATCTGTCCAATATTTTTTGTTTTCATAACTACTAAGAGCAATTTTTTTAGTTGTTATACTAAAAATTCTGTGGTTTTTACTTCTAATACTATTAAATGACTTATGTATAACCTCATTAGTTTTTAAAACCGTCTCAAACTCTTCATATTTCATTTGACGTCTTACTGTGCCTTTTGCTATGCCCTTACATTTCTTATATTTTTTATCATCACCATAAACTGAGTAAGCATGGCATTTAGGACGAAGAGCTATAAACCCTGTTATTATTTTACTTTTTAATTCATCCTTAAATTTGCCTAATACTTTCTTGTTATTCTCATCATAACATTTATGTTCCTTAGGATAATCTGAAAAATCTATTTCTTTTTTAATTGTATTCAGGTCTTCATAAATGTCATTGGTTTTAGTATGAAATACAAAACTATCAGTATCAGTATATACCATTTTAATATTATCTCCATATTTAGGTTTCATAACGTCATAATAAAATTTATACATGTGTTGCTTACTCAAATCTAAAATACTCATCCCAATAAATATAGGTTTGTCTAGTTTCAACTTTGTTTTTTGCTTTTCAACTCCAACCAAATTTTCATTAATGATATGACTATGTTTGAAGTTAGGATTACTTACACACTTCATATATCTAATTTCATCACTCACAACTTCAAAGTCTAAATGTTTTCGCTTATCCTCCATTGTTTTTCCAAATATGGCATTGTTCATCAATTTGTAAACATCTTTCTCAAAATCATTTCTAGCATTCTTCCTCTTCTCAGTGTTAAACTCAATGTAAGGTTTTAAAACTTCTTTTTGTTCAAATTTAATTGCTCTATGAATTGTCTTAAGTTTTAACCCTTGCTTCAAATAAAATTGTAAGGTTCTTATATGGATTACATATTTTCTTTATCATTTAAATTCAATACTAATTTATTTGTTTTCTCATCCGTAGGTTTTTTATGATTTAAAAATTCATAAATTTCAATTTGTTTATCTGACAGCATGTCGGCTTTAACATTCATAACCTAAGGTGCCATTGGATAGTCATTGTGTAAATCGTGTAATTCTTTAGGATATTCTAAATCCACTTCTAGAATATATCCAATATTATTATTCTTATAATTAATAATGTCTTCTTCTTTTAATGTATCATCCCATTTTAGATTTTTATATGTCAGTTTTTGTATCATGCTTAACCCGTACAAATTATTAGCATCAAAATAGTTAATATAACTACTTTCCTTATTTTTATCATATTCTTCTCCCATGTATTCATTATTTGCTTCAACTTTTTTAGTAGAAACCATACACATCCCGCCTCTAAGTCCCGCTTCTATCATTTCATACATTTCTCGGTCATATATTAAATCAATCTCTACACCAGTCATTTTAAGCATAGCATCAAAAGCAAAGTTAGGCAATGTATAATAATAAGCAGGGTCCAATCCATAATATTTCATACATACATCTCTAAAATTTTCGAAATGTCAGTCAATAACAATACATCAGTTTTCAAATATAAATCATGGTATTCACCCATATTCTTAATGTCGAAATGCTTCCATATAATTTTTGCCCTTTCATAGTCGTTCACACTTATACCTTCTTCACTCAACTGACTATAAAAATCATCCTTACTCGGTAATTGCTCATCATCAAATTTATCAAATGAATTCATGTAGTCATAAGGATAAACACCTTTATCAGTTAATAAATCTAGACATTTCTCACTCTTAATCAAATCATTTTTACTACTAAACCTAAAATTATCTTTCCAGTCTTCACGCAATAACCATTTACTTTTATCTTCTTCATCTGTATTATCATACTTACTCATTGAAACTAACTTATCTAATGAAGCAGTTAAAAACCCAATAGTGTCTTTAACACTCAAACTTTCAAAACTGATATTAATAAATTTTTCACTGTTCTGAGCGATGACACCTATTTTATTGTTGTTACTTAATTTATCCGCATTTTGAATAATCAAATGGCCATCATAATTTTTCATGTTATGGAAGAATACTGGAATTTTAAATATCTATTACAAAAATTAAGATTGCAAACATTATGAGCACAACCTCTATACTTACCTGTAAAATGACAATGGTCTCTAACTTTTCTATATTTCTCTGCTTCCTTGGCATTCTTATAGTTCATTCTAAACTTATCCCCACAAATAAAGCAGTTTTTAGCATTTTTAAAATCTTCTTTGTCTTCATCAGTCATATCTATTTTTTCGTTTTCTCCAATCTTCTCCTTTACTTCTGCCCTAATGTCATTAAGTTTTTGACAAAACACATCAACAGCATCTTTACCACGATACA